CCAAAGCTATAATATCCTTTTTATGGTGTGGTGACCAGAATTGCACACAGTATTCCAGATGAGGTCTGCACCATTGATTTATATAGGGGCATTATGATATTGGCTGATCTGTTTTCAATACCCTTCCTAATAATCCCCAGCATAGCAATGGCCTTCTTTATTGCAGTCACACACTGTCTCGACATTTTCAGTGAGATATCTACTATAACTCCAAGATCTCTCTCTTGAGCAGTCTCTGCCAGTTCAGACCCCATCAACGTGTATTTATATTTAGGATTTCTGGCTCCAATGTGCATCACCTTGCACTTGGCCACATTGAACCCCATTTGCCATGTTGACGCCCACTCGCCCATCCTTGACAGATCCCTTTGGAGTGCCTCACAATCCTCACTGGTTTTCACCACCCTGAACAACTTTGTATCATCCGCAAATTTAGCCACTTCACTGCTTACTCCCAACTCCAAATCATTAATGAACATGTTAAAAAAGCAGTGGACCAAGTACTGATCCCTGCGGTACCCCACTGCTTATCCCCCTCCACTGAGAGAACTGCCCATTTATACTCACTCTCTGTTTTCTATTAATTAGCCAGTTTATGAGTTTATGCCTTTGATCAGTGAATGTTGTCGTATCTCCTCAGCCAGGGGTTCCAGCAGCAATAGAACTGGAAGCAGGAGATGGCCAGTTCCAGTGCAGGCCTGATAGAAGCCCTCCGGGGGCCTGATCCAGCCCCCGAGCTGCATGTTTGACACTCCTGTGATAGGGCATGTACAGAGAGAGGGACAGGAATTGTGTTTTACCCATTTCTTTTGAATTCCTTGCTCAATCTGGTGCTATGCTAAAAGTATACTTGTGAACATTTTCTTTTTAATAAATGCTTTATAACTTTTGATGCTGGTAGTGCATCTCTGTACCAAATAGACCTCCGCTGTCTTGGATACACTATTTTAAAAGGAGGGCCAGGGGAAGGCCAGCAGTTGGCAAGTGGCTATTCCTCCAAGGGTGCACAAGGCAGTAAACTGTCCCCATGGTGACACTGGCCCTTTCTGCACTCTCCTTTTAATCCATGTTCACTCTCCTTTTAATCTATGTTCCCCATTCTGCACTAACATTAAGTTCAACCTTCTTTTTATTCCAGTTCCCCCCCCCCCTATTCTGCATTACATTACCTCCCTTCAGTGGTCAGCCCAGTTTCAGCCTGCTGTTGCCTCAGGTTATTTGGTGCTGTTTTGCCGTGGACTTAAATTGCCTCAACTCAAACACTGAGAAAATCTGGAGTGGCAGGCAAATGTGGAGAGGACTACAGAGGCAAGGCCTCAGATTTGGGAAGAGAAGCTGGGAATCCTGACCCTCCCAGCAGGCAATTCCTTACAAAGGTCAGGTGGTGGAAGTGGTTACCTGAGAGAGAAAAGAAAAGCCTCGCCAGGTGTTAAGAAAACCTTGGAGGGGAGGGGGGAACAGGGCCTGCAGGTTGGAGTGGATCCGTTCCACCACACCATATATGACAGCTTCCCCAAATGGATAAAAAGTGAGACATTTCACTTTCTTGTTTAGGTTATAAAGGATTCTTTGTCGTTTTAAAATCAACACTAGGATCGTTATGCAATGCAAAAGAAAAAAAACAACCTCAAAGGATACGGCTCTTTCTCAGGTAATTAAGCAACAGTTCCTCAGGATCAGCACACCTTTCAATTACCTGTGTTAGAAATGAAAGAAATGGATAATCATAATACACCTTGCCAGACAGGATTACCTGTGCTTTTGATGGGGAGTGCAAATTAATATCACATGCTAGTTTTCTTCATCTCGTGTATCTCTTTCTCATGCAAGTCATATAGCAGCGCTCTGGCGCGGGCCCAGGAAAATGGCAGGGGGGCTCTCCTTGACTTCTCTGGGCTACAGCACTCCGGTGCGGGCCCAGGGAGGCGGCAGGGGGGCTCTCCTTGCCTCCTCTGGACAGCAGCGCTCCGGCACGGAACCAGGCATGTGGCAGGGGGGGCTCTCCTTGCCTCCTCTGGGCAGCAGCGCTCTGGCACAGGCCCAGGAAAGTGGCAGGGGGGCTCTCCTTGCCTCCTCTGGGCTGCAGCACTCTGGCGCAGGCCCAGGAAATCGGTGGGGGGCTCTCCTTGCTTCCTCTGGGCCACAGCACTCTGGCGCGAGCCCAGGGAGGTGGCAGGGAGGCTCTCCTTGTCTCCTCTGGGCCGCAGCACTCCCGTGCGGACCCAGGAAAGCAGCCGGGGGGCTCTCCTTGCCTCATCTGGGCTGCAGCACTCCGGCGCGGGCCCAAAAAATCGGTGGGGGGCTCTCCTTGCTTCCTCTGGGCCGCAGAACTCCCGTGCGGACCCAGGAAAGCAGCCGGGGGGGCTCTCCTTGCCTCCTCTGGGCTGTTGGCTCAGGGAGGTGGCGGGGGGCTCTCCTTGTCTCCTCTGGGCAGCAGTGCTCCAGCGCTCACCCAGGTAGGCGGCGGGGGGCTCTCTGGGCCACAGCGCTCTGGTGCTGGCCCAGGAAGGTGGCAGGGGGGCTCTCCTTGCCTCCTCTGGGCTGCAGCGCTCCGGTGCAGGCCCAGGGAGGTGGCGGGGGGCTCTCCTTGCCTCCTCTGGGCAGCAGCACTCTGGCACGGGCCCAGGTAGACGGCGGGGGGCTCTCCTTGCCTCCTCTGGGCAGCAGCACTGTGGCACGGGCCCATGAAGGTGGGAGGGCTCTCCTTGCCTCCTCTGGGCCGCAGTGCTTCAGCACTGGCCCAGGGAGGCAGCGGGGGTCTCTCCTTGCCTACTCTGGGCGGCAGCGCTCCGGTGTGGGTCCAGGGAGGTGGCGGGGGTGGGCTTTCCTTGCCTCCTCTTGGCCTCAGGTCTCCAGCGCAGACCCAGGGAGGCGGCGGGGGGCTCTCCTGGCCTCCTCTGGGCAGCAGCGCTCCAGCGCGGGCCCCGAAAAGGCAGCAGCGGGCGTCCCCGGGGCTGCAGTGCTTCAGTGCAGGCCCTGGAAGGCTAGCGACAGGCCGTAGCAAGGGGGGCTGGGGGTGGGGCTTGCTGCCACCGCCATTTTGCCAGCTCCTGGGTTCCTGGAGCAGCGCTCCGGTGCGCTCCGTCCCCAAAAGACCCCTGATTGTTCCAAATATGATTTCTTTTGTTAGTTACTTAAGTTAAGTAGCCTTTATTGGCATGGGGAAAAAAATTACAAGTTAATACAGTTTAAAAGGTAAGTTAAAACCACAACATGCATATACATCAGTAATGTCTTTTGAAGCAACTGTCTTTTAAATGCAAGGGTCACCAGGTGGGATCACACTATCATATATGTAAACTCTCTCAGTCCTTTAATTTAAAAATATTTATTTGATATTGCTCCTTGGATTAAATAGGTTATAATTCCATCCTATGGAGGCTTCTAATCATCACAGAAAGCTTCACAGAACAGAACATGTGTGCAAGTAAGGAAACTGCGCAAGTGTGTTTTGGTAGTGATGCAAGCTATGCTTCCAAATAACAATCACATACCACTGTTCAGTCCCAAAATGTCCTTTTTAAAAAAGCTGGGAAGCCTTCTGGGAGGTTTTTCAGCTTTTCACCATCAGTGTCTTTTACAGTCAATTAAAACTGACAAACAGACCCGGTTACTTAAAAGTATACTGGGTAGTTTCCAAAGACTTCTCCAGTGAGATGCACAAGGCTTCTTCCCTAGGGCTCTTCTGCTTGCACAAGATATATGCGGATGTCGAAGGGCAAAGATAATTTTCCACAGATTCCTCACTCTGGGATAAGACCAAAAGATCTCCCAGCATCCAATAGCCCTGCCCTAGGTAACAATAATCTATGTTCATCTTTGACTTTAGTCAAGAACTTTATTAACCTCTTATTCCCAGTTACTAAGTACTAGCGGGATGTTTGTGCCGTTACTGGGACTGTTAGAATGGTCTGTTTAGTTGATTAACGTTGCAGGGATCTCTGCACAAGCTAAACACAAACAATGCATGTGCATTTTCATTGTGTAATTCCATTATACTTTATTTCTTGATCTATCAAAGTTTCAGTTCTTGTTAATTTTTGCCACAATTCTTTAACTTGTAAACCTTTATTTGTAACCTTTAATTTGAGTGTTTGATTATCTATCTAGCAGAGCACTTTTAAGCACTATTTATTGCCTTATGAGACTTAATCTCTTGCTTCTGGTATCTTTGGCCACTGTGTGACACGGAGTGTTGGACTGGAAGGGCCATTGGCCTAATCCTACATTGGCTTCTCTTATGTTCTTATGTACAAGATAGAGATGGGGTCTCTCGGTCTGGGGCAAGTGATGCTCTGTATTCTTGGTGCTTGGGGGGGGACAGTGGGAGGGCTTCTAGTGTCCTGGCCCCACTGCTGGACCTCCTGATGGCACATGGTATTTTTGGCCACTGTGTGACCCAGAGTGTTGGACTGGATGGGCCTTTGGCCTGATCCAACATTGGCATCTCTTATGTTCTCTTATGTTCTCTCTTTCTCGGTGAAATAAAAAGGATGTAAAAGTGCTTCTTAAGCTTTGACTGATTAACTTTATTACTGACACTGATACTGCTTTTAAAAACCCTGTTTTATTCAGCTAATATAAAATGCCTAGTACACTAATCTATTCAAATAGCAGTAGCATATTTGACTGACAAACGTACATGGATCAATCATAATTTAAAAGTTTTGGACAATACTATATTAACAAAAAGAGGCTGCGATCAGACATGCCATTTTGTGCAGAAGGGAAGCAAGCCTATTTCCCCCAGTGGAAATTGGCATGGTGTTGCGCAAGCACACATCCTTTATAGCTGCAGGCTCAGCCCATCACTCAAATGGCACATGCAGGCAAGTGGGGGGGTTTGTCTTTTGTTTCCTGTGCACATAAATGAGGAATGGCACCTCCGCACGGAGGGTTTCCCATGGAGTATGCGGTTATGTGCATACTGCTAAGCGAGGGGGAAAAATGGCACCGAGTCAGGATAGAATGAGCAGACCACCCCGAAGATTGGATATAATATAAAGATATTTTAAAGATAGAAGGGAGAACCTTTGAGATAAAGAAAAGGGAGACAGGGGACAGCATTAGGACCAGACTTTCCTTAGTGTCTTTTAACTCCGCTTCTGTGGTGGGGCAGCATGGGGTGCCAACAGCTGCAGGACCTTTCCCAGATGTTGCTGTCTGATTGTGCCCTTCAGATCTGTCAGGCATTTGCAGCTGAGTCAGATCTAAAGGCATGTCTGACCGCAGCCAGAAAAGAGCAACCTGAGTAGCCTAGGCTAGCCTGATCTCAACAGATCTCAGAACATAAGCAGGGTCAACCCTGGTTAATACTTGGATGGGAGACCATCAGGGAAGTCCACGGGCAAGCAGGCAATGGGAAGCCACCTCTGCTCATCTCTTGTCTTGAAAACCCCACGAGGGGTCATTATCATGTCCTGGCCCCACTGCTGGACCTCCTGATGGCACCTGGTATTTTGGGCCACTGTGTGACAGGGTGTTGGACTAGATGGGCCATTGGCCTGATCCAACATTGGCTTCTCTTATGTTCTTATGTCTGGGGCAAGTGATGCTCTGTATTCTTGGTGCTTGGGGGGGGGACAGTGGGAGGGCTTCTAG